TGGGGCCTTTTGCGGAATGAACCCCCCCCCCCCCCAGTTACACATATAACTTGCTCTTGTGTATGCTGCTTTATACGGTGTCTAGGTTTCTGTGTACACTGTCTTGTTACATATTCTGTCTGCTGTTGTGTAATGCCTTTTTGCACATTCTGTATCTTCCTGTTTATACTGCTCTCTTTACACTCATATTGTCTTGTTAAATGTTCTCACTTCTGTACTGTGGCGGCTTACAACTCCCCATCTCTTTACAGGTTACATTGAGGCTGTTGTCATCCCTGCAGGGGCCAGAAGGATCCGTGTAGTAGAGGATAAGCCAGCACACAGCTTTCTGGGTAAACGTGTCTTGACAGTCACTGGTCTAGATAGTGATTATAACTAATACATGCTCTGTTTACTCTAGTGTCATTCCCTGCAGTGAGCCAAAAGACTAAATAAGGGTCCATTCACACCTCTGCGTTTTATTAATTGTTCTGTGATTTATGTGTTCTGCGTTTGCATCTGTGAACTCTATGTGCGGTACATTTTTTTTTTTTAGTTGAATACATTTGAATACAACCAGACAGACACAAAGTATAGCATTCAAAGAATATAGCCACTGTACAACAGCAGTGAAAACGCATAAGAAGTACAAGCCTTGTAACAGACCATGCAACGGCAAAACCCTTTTATTTTAAAACCCTTGCTGACTGCATTTTTGGTGCTGCTTGTAGCTAGTGATTTTCTAGAGAGTTTAATAGTACTATATTCAAAATGAATCAACAAATTTGTGAAGAAATAACTGGGAACTCAAAATATTGATCAGTGCCTCCCTTATAATAAATGATCACTGAATGGAGATGGCCCATGAATTGCAGACAAGGTAGCACCAGGAGACTGAGGTTTAGGTAAAGATACTTTCTAGTATACAGCCTTGTCCAAGACAGAAAGATCTCTTAAGATGACTCTACACATGGCAACCTTTAGCTAACTTAAACCAGTTTCAGTCAACAAGGAATCAATTATACAATCAAAAATATTTGCTTAAAAACAAGCAATCAACTGAGTTCAGTTGATGAATTAAGCTATATATGGACAGCGTAATGCTTGTTGGCAGTTTTGGAGCTTTCCTTCAGCTGCAACCTACCACCCAGAGTTTCCACCCTTTTCAGTTTCCATTGCAATGCCAGCAAAACTGGCTGTTGGCTGCCAATTGATTTCCACATTAATTTCAATTTTTTCTTTGCTTATGACTGGGAATCAAATAAAACCAGGAATGCCAGATTGCTGTTGTTGATAGCTAAATTGTGAATTATAAGTCCAGCATAAGATAGTTTGTGGCAGATTAGCAGTTAGACTCACTACAGAGGGATCTTATTTTCAACATATAGCTTCTTTTCCAACTCCACCTTTAAAGATAAAATGCTATTTATATTTAGGTTGGGGAGTATTGTAAAGCAGCAGCTATAAAAATTTCAAGACTCTGATAACAATACAAATAGGTTCCTTTTGTGTTCTTCATCAACTAGTTGATAATATATATACATTACTATGTCCTGTATTGACAAAGGGGCTGGTGGGAGGAACAAAGCAGGGGAACAATAAACTGACACTCCTGTAAGTGTCAGATTTTGAAGAATCTTCTGGTGGTGGTTTCTCTTTATTACAGTAGAGATTGCAGCTCAGGTAGCGGGAGAGGTGAGTATTATTTTATTTTTTTGGTCAACCTTTTTAAAAATGTTTACATTTATTTTAATTAATTTTTTTATTTTTACTTTACTGTTGGAGGCTCTGAGTAAATATCAAGGGTCTAAACAAACCCCTGTCATTTATCTTTTAAAATAGAAAAAGAGATTGAGGACACAGAGTCATTAATCTCATTTTCTGCAGTCCCTGTTATGAATGAACAAGAAGCCTCTTTACTGAGTGTTCCTGTGGATTCATAAACTGAGGATATAGTATGAGTTACTATGTCCACAATCATGAATGAACAGGAAGTGATGTAGAGCGCTTCCTGTTCATTGATAGCTGGGGACACAGTAACCATACTATAGCCTCAGTTATTTGCAAACACGCAGCGATCAGTCCTTATCGCTGAGCGCTTGTACTCCGCTCGGCATCCTGACTCGCCTGTCACAGGAGGCGTAGGGGGGCAGTGCGGGAGGAGAGCTCAGCCTCCAGTGAGAGCTCACAGCTCTCTTCTGCCGAACTGCTCTGCTCGGCATCCTGATTTGCCTGTCACAGGAGGCTGAGCGGGGCGGTGTGACAGCTCACTTCCCCGCACCGCCCTATTTGGCATCCTGAAAGCTTCTCTCCTTCCTGCTGGGTGCTGGTCTGTGTCCCCTCGGATTCCCGCTGCCTCTGCCGACACAAGTGGGGGAGAGCAACGGGTATTGTAGGAGACACAAACCGGTGCCCAATGGTGAGGAGAGAAGCTAGGGATGCACTGAATTACCGTTATGGTATTTTGGACTTTTTCCTCGAAATTTCGCTGCATCCCTAGTATTTACATGTGCTCACTTCTATCACAAATCCAAAAACCAAGGAGTTTATGGTCTGTTTACTGTGAACTCCAACAGTTATCCATGTAATCTGAGAGAACAGATCAGCCTCCTGTTCCAGGCTGTAGGAGCCAAATTCACCTTATATAGCCTGTGTGTGTTTAGCATATTACAGGAATGTGTTGTATGCAGAGCAAGTGAGAACTGACCCACATTCATACTGTAAAGAAACTTTCTAGGTTTTTTGATGAAGAAGGGAAAAAAGTCCCTTAAATCATATTATCACATCCCACGCCAACATGTGTGCGGGCACTGGCAATAGTCTGCTCATGGATTTCTGTACCTGCGGAAGCCAAAAAAAATAGAATGTTTGCTAAGGAACAAGTCAAGGATATAAGAAAGTAATTTGATGCTTGTTGCCATTTCAGCTCTTGGATGCTGAGTAGCAGCACACGGGCTATAGGTAGCAGAAAAAAGTCAAGGATTTGGCAGTGACTCTGTGGAAAAACTGCAAAATGAGAAAAGAGAATGTGGGAATTTAAGAGAGAACACTGTGTAACATAGAAGAAAGAATTACTGAAAACTAGGCGCAGGCGCATTGACGCCAGGGTATTCTTATGGAGCACAAATTATTATTGTCGCACAAATTAACAGAAAATATTTCCTGCAGCCCTAAACAAAATAGGAGGTAGCCTACTGTGCCTGAAAATCAGGACTGGTCCAGCCGGCAACTGACATTGTGTTTTATGGTTAACTTTTTCAGCCCTGAAAGATTCAAGTAAGAAATCCATCAACAGTGACTGGAAAATTGAACTGCCTGGAGAGTTTCATATTGCAGGAACCACCATCCGATATGTACGTCGGGGACTCTGGGAGAAGATATCGGCTAAGGGACCCACAAAAACACCATTGCACCTGATGGTAACATATTATCTTTTCTTTGTTTCCTACAGGAGTACAGGTTGCAGCTAAAACATGCACTGAAGAAGGGGTTCATATGCCCAGAGCAATAAGTCAGGTTTTCACTTTCAAAGTATTTTATTAAATTTTAAGATAGAATAAAACAATAAGATAGCACATGATGCACAAACAGTATAGCATACAATTGCATCTCAGAGTCTTCCACAATAGCATAGTCAGGTAGTAAGAGGGTATCACTAGAAAACATACACACAATGCATAATAATTCTGACAGAACATATCTATCCACCTACTCTTGCCAAATTATCCCCCATCAACAAAATCAAAACATTCAGAGGAATATCAGGCATAGGGATCCACCTGTGTCTGAGGCAAACATTTGGTATGACCTCCTTCATATCTATATACATAGAAGACTTTCCGTCCAACATCAATGTACTAAACAGCTCACGCGTGTGAGCCTAAAGAAAGAAAAAACAGCCAAAAAGGAGAAGAAAAGGAAAAAGATACTGAAAGAAACAGAACAGCTTAAGAGTCCAAAAAGAGTAGATCAGGTTTTCACTTTAAAGTGACATTAAACTCAGGAGGTAAATGTTAGAAAATACATTCAAGTACCTTCAATATTAACAAAAATGTATCTTATTTATGTATTACTCAGCTGTAGATCCTCAAATCATCTCTGTAATCCATTTCTGAGATGATTTGAGGATGTACAGGTGAGTGATACACAAATAAGATACATTTTTGTTTATAATGAAGGTATTTGAACGCATTTTTAACATTTGATTCCTGTCACTTTAAGCATGCTGGTTTGCAGAGAACACTCGTATTTACCGTATTTCTCGCTCCATAAGACGCACTTTTTTCCCCCCAAAAGGAGGGGGAAAATGTGCCTGCATCTTATGGAGCGAATCCCGACGCCCGAGACATGCAGTTTCGGACGCGGGGCGAGTAGTTTTTTGTACATTTAGCTCTGCCTAACAGTAGGAGCCACTGCTAGTTTAATACGAGTGATCTAATGAGATCACTCGTATTAAAACCGAGCGTCGTCGTCGATCTAGATCACCATAGAGCAGACGAAGAACAGACGTTCTTCGTCTGCTCTGTGTGATCACTGAGAGCGTGGCACTGTAATCACAGTGCCACCTGTCTCAGCGGTCACTAACTGCAGCTTCTGTCACAGAAGCTGTGACAGAAGCTACGGTCTGTCGAGTGCCCCATAAGGCGCACTGGACCTCGCTGCGTCCTATGGTCCGGTGCGTCTTATGGAACGCAAAATACGGTAAGTCCCATCTCCATCCAAAACATTTTTACGTTTTGGATAGACTGGGGAAGGATTAGAATGCCTGTCAAATTTCAGCTTCTATCTGTGCCTTCTATGGGGAGACTTCCCCTCACTTCCTGTCCCAGTGACATCAGAATAAGAATTTTCCTAACAGGGTGACAGAGAGCAATATGATTCTGATGGAGGGTCTTACACTACCCTACACTATCCAAAACTAACATTGTGGTCGGAGTTTATCTGTAAAAATAATTTCCACCTTCAAAAAAAAAAAAGGAATTTCCTTGAATGGGGAATAACACCCACAAGTGACCATTTATTTCCTTGGGTTTTTGAGGCCTGAGCTGCATCGCTCCATAAAAATTTGAGTAGCTTGAGGGACACAGAGATTGTGCTTGTGCATGGAATGGATGTAAAACACTATAATGGTAGTAACTTTTAGGGGAATATCAAGAAACACTTGTTTTTACTGATGGCAGTGCCTGCTACTTATTGCTGAATAATTGAGTCAGGTGTTAAAGGAGAACTATGAGGCGAGTGCTTTTCACTCACCTCATAGTTCTAGCCGACCTGTGACAATGAGACTTTCACAGGTCGGCTCAGTAGATCGGGAGGTGAGCGAACATATACCGGCGTTCGCTCACCTCTCGATCCTGTCACGGGTGGAATGGACGGGGGAGGGGGCGGGTACAGCTGGCTCTGCCTCTAGATAGGCAGAGCCAGCTGTCAGTCACGCAGCTGGGCGGATCCCGGCACAATTGTCGGGATCCGCTTCAGCTGTGGCGTCTCAGTATACCGCGAGCAGCAGCTCGCGGTATACTGCGGCGTCTCAGTATACGGCGAGCTACAGCTCGCCGTATACTGAGCCTAGGGTGATAGGAGGACGCTAGTTTGTGTCCTCCCGTTACCCTAAGGAGAACTATGGGGAAAAGCCTTAACCCCATAGTTCTCCTTTAAGTTTGTACATGAGAGAAGAAGCAGCACCATCAGAATCATGGGTGGGGGGCAAAAGACTTAGGGGTCTATTCACAAAAGGGTGAAGAGTTTGGAGAAGGCAGGAGAAGTGAACAATCTAGGAAAACATAACTGAACTGGAAAGTGAGCTGAACTGGATAATTTCTCCAAATCAGCTATGTTGGCCTAGATTGTTCATTTCTCCTGCCTTCTCCAATCTCTTCACTCTTTTGTGAATAGACCCCTTAGTGTATTTCCACTTTTGCAGTCAAATGTAAGAAGACCCCTCTATATGTTTGTTATGTGTTCCTATTCACATAGCATATGGAAAAATATTTTTTTAATAAATATTTCCTGCCTTTTAGATTTTTTTTGTTGCAGCAGGCAGGATGACTGATTCCAGGTTTTTCTTCATGTGGTCTGTCCTTATAGAAGACTTAGGACTGACATTTGCGGATTGTTTTTCTCTCGTTAACTTCAGAAGCCAGTTTTGTAATCTTTTAACCTTTCCTGACAGCCCCTCTTAACTTTACAGAAGGAGACGCAAGTGAAAATTAGAACCCTTAAGAAGCCAAGAAACCCTAACCCAAGTAAAAGGGCTTCTTGTAGTTTTAAATATTTTTTTTAGGTTATTCTCTGTGAATGGAGACATGTAACAAATATAAAATAGGTGTTATCCCAATTTGGCTGCGAAAGTGGAATTACATTTTTAGGAAGTTTATACATACAAATTGTCCTTCGTGGCATAGGCGACGGGATAGTTCCACCTCTGCTGGAGTTTGGTAAGACACCATGTTTAACCACTTGCTAACCGGGGTGTTAAACCCCCTTCCTATCCAGGCCATTTTTCAGTATTCAGCACTGCAGTACTTTGACATTTATTCCGCTGTATTGAAATTCATTTTTTAAAATTTTTTGGGGACAGATAGAACTTTCTTTTGGTGGTATTTAATCCCTTTTTTTTTTTTTTTTTTTACTATATAACGAAGAAAGGTTCCTAAACTTTTTGGGGAAAAAACTGTTTTCTCTTTATTATGTTATAAAACATTTATCAGTACCCAATTTTTTGGTAAAATATAAAAGATGGGGTCACGTCAGGTAAATAGACACCAAACATGTCAAGCTTTAAAATTGCGTGTGCCTGCAAAATTGCAAAAAAACACCATGCCTAAAATTGCCCATACACAATGCTTTAAAAGCGTTTCGAGGTAGTCCTCTTTTTCAAGCCTAGGAGCGGAAAAAGAGGACTACCTCGAAACGCGTAGCCGTTAGCACTGCCAATTCAACCCCCAGAGTTGTCTCACCACACAGCACAACTCGTTCAGACCCACGAGCACCGATTCACTTACTGGGTCTGACCCTTCAACGTTCGTGACACATGCCGCACTGATACACACTACAGTGCGGTTTCCTATTGCCGGGCAAGATCTTTTCCCCCTCCTGTCTCCAAGTGCCGCGGCTCGGCCAGGCCAGCCGAGGACACGGGCTGGGGATACCCTGGACATTCCAATCGGTAGTCCATCGACTACCTTCGTCACCCGCAAGTGCATGCAGGGATTCTGTTTGCTCACTTGTGACAACACAACCGTAAGTCACACATTTACTTTTTAACCCTAACCATTCAGCTAGTCACAGCAGGCTGTGCAGCATTCACGTATTTATCAATTGTTATGTAGTACCCATTAATTATCTATTCAGGTAGTTGCACTCTTCCTTGTACTGTTTTGATGAATGTGATTTACCGGGTTCCTCTCCCGGTTTCGAAGAGTTTATGCACACCATCCCCCAACACACCAACGATTAAGAGAGTTGACCATACTACAGTGGAGCGCTTTCCATGCATTTTTGTTTTAGATAGAGTAGGGATTCTATATGGGGTTTTCTGCTGCATTCTAGACATCAGGAATATTACCAATAAGGGAAGTACAATATATTGTGGTTTACAATTGGATTGGCAGCCTCACCTATAATCTACTTCACGCACATGAACCTTTCTATTTAAATCATTGCACATGATGAGTGTTTTAAGACTATAAGGCATAGTTATATACAC